TGTATATATATATATATGTATATGTATATATGTATGTATATATATGTATATATATGTATGTATATGTATGTATATGTATGTATATATATGTATATATATTCCATCATCTCACAAACACGACCAGAGACGAAAAGCAGTCATTTATTTCTGTCTTTATTACCAAAAACACAATGGCAAGGTGGTGACATAATACTGCCTATGATGTTCTAAAAATAAATAAAGTGTCACACTGCTGTCCCAAACAATTCAACGTTAAAGTACAAAATTGAATATGAGCAAAAAGAAGAAAAGGCTGATCAGGACAGACGTGTTCTAGCTTCTCCGCCTCCTTTGGTTGAAATGCATGCGGCTCAGTTTACTGCGTTTACCTTAAAACCACCAACTCTCTCAAATAGACTGGGAGGAGATAAGAACAGAGTCAAAATACAATATTTTTTTTGTCTTTTTAAATTATTTTTTTACAAGATCATTCAAAAATAGATGTTTTCTTTTGAAAAAGTCATTTTCAAGGTTCTACAGTATTGATCTACAATGTACAAACTAACAGTCGGAAAGTATTTGAGCTCATTAATAGGTTAAAACAGCTAGCAAGTAGAAAATAAAGAGCCGTTTCACATACTTGGTTTATTGTTGATGCCGTGTCCCCAAAACTGAATAAAACAGAAATGTGGATTTGCCTCTCTGGAAAAGTGTGATGCCCACAATAAATCCACTTCGACACCACTGGCTGTGCCCAAATCGAAATTCTGATCAATTTAACTAAATATGTGACTGAAGTTTTGGCAAACAAAATTCAGCTTTCAACACACATGACACCTTCACCCAAAAGGCACAATAAATGTTTTGCCTACAAATGAACTAACATGGCACAAAGTTGGAGTTCTTTAGTCGTGGTGTGAATTCTGACTGACTGAAGGAAATGTAACTGTGCTCTGAAAGTGCTGCCACACTTTTGCTATTTGTGAAATTAAAACACATTTTCACGTTGCTTTTTTGCCTTCACTTTCTAAAAAAGTATCTGAAATGATCGTGTTTTACTTGAAATATTATCATGAGCTACGTTGTAGGACTGGCTGACACTGCCGTGCTTGGTTTGCTATCAACGTTACTCCCAATGAACACATATGCTGTACAGTCACAGAGTCCAGTGACGTTATTACTACTTAGATGCTATTCTTTCCTGTAGCTTTGGCCTTTAATAGAACTGTATGCATCAAATTAAGGACAAGTCTGGTGGTAGAATATACGTTTCATTTTTTGAACAACTCCCATGAAAAGACCAAAAACCAACAAAGAATGTGTCCTACTAATGTCCTGTAGTTCTCACAGACGCCGGACAGACTCACTACCACACCAAACGTGTATTGATGCACGGCTGGAAATAGTCCCCAACAAATACACCATTTACAGCTCGCTTGGGCAACAATTGCCAAAACCTATATTGCCAAACTGTTAGTAGAAATGTCAGCTTTTGAAAAAAATGATTTAATTATATATTCATGACAAAGTTATGTCTTTCAGTGAGATTGGGCTGGTGCCATAGACGGGGTAGGGAGGCTCACATTGTCAGGTGGACTAATGCGCCATTGGTTTGGGTCGTTTCATGGGATCGGTTGACGATAAAAATATATTGGAAGCCATTTATTTGCTAACCCACCACAAAGCACCACAGGGCAGGACGAACAGCTTAGACTTTATCTGTACCAACAAAGAAACCAAGGTGTGCAACCCAAAGGATTGCAAAAGAAAAGTGGGATCGCCTCGTCAATGAAACAGGAGGAGCACTGAAGTCACACTTTCATTTAGACGCGTCCCCAACTGCTTTAATTCGGACACTTGGTGTTGTAAATTTAAAATGCAGACAATAATTACCTGCTATGATGATGAGAATTCCCGGCCAGGTCTTTTAGATTGATATTTAATTTAGTTTTATCCACTACGCCCCCCACACACACGAAGGGGGGCATGGGTTATTGATATTCCATTTTATCTTCATTTGCTCCGCCTCGGTCTATGTGGATGACATACTGATGACTGCAGGATACATTAGATGAGGTTGAAAAGAACAACACTTATCTTGAATCTACGCTAAATTTTCTGTGAATTTCCAATCCCAGCGATTGTGTCCCCACATGTTTGACATGAATCAACATTAAGGGGATATCTTGAATGAGGTTCTCATCCATAGTCAGTGTATTATCTACAGTAGATGGTGGTCAACATGCCCCCAGAAACAGACAGGAGCAAAGCAATGTACTGCTGGGGCAAAACCTGTGTAAGACACCTAAAAATATCAAACATCAGTTGAAGTCTACGCTATATTTAGAAATATGTTCATGCTTTCCCTTGCAGACTGCAGACTCCTTTTGCCTCACAGAACATGAGTTGATGTACCGCTGCCTCGATCGATCAGTTTGTTTGCGTTATTGTGACTTTGGTGTTTTAAACCTCTGCGTTCTGTAAGGTATTATTAATTATTTTGTCAATGGAGTCCGCTGGCTTTGAAGGGAGCATAGATGGACAGAACGGCTTCACCTTCCCATCACAAAGGGCTGTCGGACAGCAAGGTAAAGCGGTGACAATATTCTAAATGTAGCATCGATTAAAGTGACAATATTTTTTGGGTGGAACTCTTTTTTTTTGGTGGCCAACCCCGAGAGATATTTTGGTTGTTCCTAGCATGCACCTGGGTGAATGGATCGTCAGCTTTGTGCCAGTGAATCTTTTCCTTTGCAGTCAAACAGGTGTTCTCTGAGTCATCTGAGATATTAGTTACATTTGTCTCCTTTCAAGAAAAAGCCACTTGCTCTCGTATAGCCGCATGAAAAATAACTCCCCCCCCCACCCACAGCGAGACCATCCATCACAGCTAACAGGAAGCCCGCATTGATTGAAGTGTCCGTTTCACCCTCATTACACTGTGCTGAGTTGAGTGTTTTCCATATCAGAGCTGCAGTAATTACATTACACTCCTGCTTCCAGTCCATCACACGAGAGCACACGGCAGGACTGGGTGTCAATAAACCTCAAAGAAACGTGTCGCCGTCTCAACTTTGTTTATTTTCACATCCGTGTCTTCATATTTCAGGCATGTTGGTTAGCTGGGACAGCAGTCATTCCATGTTTGTGTTTGACACTAGAAAGTTTGTATTTTAAAAACACTGACAGAAAAGAGCAAACGGTTGTTATAAAAAAACGTTATTATATACACAGCATGAATTGCATGGACTACAAAGAACAGACTTTACTCTTTAATGCCAACTCTTGAAATGAGCCTAGTGCCACAATCACGAGTGAGAACACATGCCTGCTTTTAAATATCTAGTACGCCAGCTTCCCTTTTGATCATTCCTAAGACCCAAGCCCTCTGTCGCCCGACAACCAATCAACTTTGCTCAACTTCCTCCTTTGAGAACTACACCCGTCTCCCCTCAAGACGCTCATTTCTATGATCCGACAAGTAAAATGACACTCACTCATACGAGAGAAACGCAAAGAATAATAATTAATAACATTTGCAGTTTTTTAACTTGGCATTAACGGAAACATGCATACAAAAATAAACTGATAAATATTAAAAACATATTCAAGCTGCGATACATGCCTTTAGGCATCGGTGAGTTTGCACATGTACCTCCTGAACTAGGCTACAGCCGCCGCCGATCAAATACATTAAATATTACAGTAGCAATAACAGAGCTGCCTTATGGTCAAAATATATGAATTAGACTGGAAAATATGTGATTTCTTTTTGTTTCCATTTCTGGTGAGGGGTCGTGTGGTTTTCGTGAGGTATGAACTTGTCCCTGTGTATTGAAAAATAAACTTGGGTTGGAGCTCGGACTTCAAGACATCTTGTGTCCTCTTTAATGTCAATGTATTTGACACAAACAGATTTTATTCGTTTTCTTCTTTTAAACATTCCTTTTAAAAAGGAATATGCCGCTGAGAAAACAGTTTCATAAATCCCCTCAACACCTGTTGAAGGTGTTTTGCGTTGGACAGCAGCCGCACGCCTTCGGCACCACAACATTCTGACATGTTTACGCCTCGATATCCATCGCAAACCACCTCGAGGTAAAGAAACGTAATAAAGTTCTTTAGTGAGCAGCAGCTCACTGTGAGATTGCAGTGTTGTCAGTATTAATATAAGGGGGGGGGGGGGGGGGGGGGGGGCTCTCACTCTGCTGTTTGTGCTTCTGCTTGCTGCTGCTGCTCCTTGTTGAGGATGATGCTGATTATGTCCCCCTCGTGCTCCTTCATGTGCTCCATCAGCCGCTCTTTGCTGGTGGACTCGAAGCCGCAGATGCAGCAGCAGAACAGGAGCACGCAGTATTCTAGGCCGGGGCCCGGAGAGGGGCGCTGAGGCTGAGCGGGGTCCTTCCCCTGTGAGGGGTCCGTAAACACGCCCGCCGAGCTGTCCACGGCCACGCTGGGGGCCGTCGCCGTCGTCGTCGTCATGGGTGCTGGCAGCGGCTCCACTGGGCCCTGTGCTCTGTCCTTTGAGGGCGGAGCCACCGCGGGGCGCTCTGCCGACGACTCCAGCACCGCCGACAACTTCTGAGGAGCTCTGAGAGAAAAATGACGCAACAAGAACACAACAAGAGAGAGCAAGATTCAAATCTTCGGGTAGTGCTGGCACATTGAAAATGTCAAATTGCCTCGGTACTATTTTATCTGTTGGATGTAGAAAGTTACTTGCTGCACATAATGGACGCAGTGTGTATTTGTGAGACAGCTGCATCACGCTTTATCTTTCAAAACACAAACTAATGAGCAGAGTGAGGAAGGAACTCCTGTTGAAGTACAACCTTTGCAAGTAGCTGAATGTCTTCAGTTATAACAAAGACAGTTAATAGAAGGAAAGACATTTGCACATTCTGGTGCTGGTGCCTGGCAGCTAAGTACATTAATGTAACTGCATGGGTTGACCAGGTTAGAGGCTTCTCTGTACAATTCATGAGCAATAGTTCTCAGAATATCTTTTATATCCAAGCAATGTTGGTTATGTAACAGAAATCAAATCCCGAATCAAATCAATATTGAATCGGATATCTAATCGGCACCTTGTGGATTGATTCAGGAAGTCAGTGGCGATACCCAGCCCTACGGAATTCATTTTTAGCTAAATATGGTAAAAAACAAACAATGAAAACTCTACTTGAAGCTAACTTTAGGACTTTTTCAGAGCCTGCTAGTGCCAGTGTTGAAGAAATCCAACGATTAGTATTCATTAAAAGGGCACACAAATGAAGTTCAATATTTAATGACCTGTACAACTGACATAACATATTTTATTTAAAGCTGCACGAGGCAACTTTGTACACTGCGGGCTACAAATGGTGGCATTTACAGTTCGGGCTTTCACTGTAAGAATCATTACAACATTAAGTGTGCATATTGTAGCTTTAGCTGTAATCAGGCTCTGAAGCCCTTGTAATATGAAAGTGCTTCTTACTAAGTGTTTTCCAGGACCTACAGTGTGCTGCCAGTGGATATATACACTGTGGATATTTGCAAATACAGAAATGAAACCTGAAAGAACTGCACGTGGCTTCATGTATTTACCGGCTGCTCTGGGAGATGGCCTCGTTAATGGCTTTGTTAACTTGCTCGTAGTTGTAATTCTGGTCTCCGGCGTGCTTCCACATGTGGGACTTGAGGGACGGGGGATGACTGCACACATAGCCACACAGAGAGCACCTGGAAGAAGAAGAACAACAGAGAGAAGATGCGAGTTAACGTTCGCCGTACTCTTCTTCTACTTTATATTGAGAGGAAGCGTCCCGACTCAAAACTCGCAGGGTACACTGGGCTTGAGAGAGTGGAGCAAGGAGACAGGATTTAAGGTTTCAGAGATGGAGATAAAATGTTCCTAATAGTTTAGCTTAGCCTTCTGCTAACCTCCTCAGCCGTCACATAGCAGGCTGAACTGACTAATCGAGAGAAATGTTGCTAATAGTCTTAACAAGTTGAGAGAGAATTAATTTGAAAGACATTTTCTGCATCCGGTGTTGCATGAAAGCGTGGTGGGATTAGCCAGCTAATTAGCAGACGACTGGCTACTGAGCTAGCTTGCAAACTCCACCACGCTTTCACGCAACACTGACAGTAAATGATCTGAAATAGGTTGTCACTTATGTGCTTTCTTACACTGTGACAACTGTGTGTGGATGAAGCATTGAGTTGTTAAACTTGACTCTTTTAGCTAGCTACCTTGCTACTTCCACGCTACGCTGGCTACAGAAAATGAGCAGCAGCTTTGGGAGGAGAGCAGACAGGAGCTCTGGAGACAAGTGAGCTAACTAGCCAGCTCTGGAAGTGGACAAGCTAGCGAGCTAACTAGCCACCTGTCCTCTCCTGAACTCCCGTCTGCTCTCCTCCGACGTGGTCAGCCAGGCTCACACAGTAGCGCTGGTTAATGTTAACTTTCGCATGTAAAACTTGCTGTCCTGGAGAGCGAGTGACTGTACATATTGAGAAAAAAAGAAACTTGTATTTTCTACGGCAACTATGAAATAAAACAAGCCGATGAAACTTGCTAGCAAGCGTCAACGTGTTCAGAGAAATATTCTGCCTCCACCTACAGATGGACCAAGAGAAAAGGGCGTTTATACGTTTACTCTGTAAGAACAGTGTCAATATAGAATGGACCAGAACTAAAAAGGTTACAACGCATCACTGTTTCTTTGGTTTCGACCAAATGAACCAAGCTACAGCTCAAGTTCCCCGAGTATATAGTAATAGTGCAGTACTGAGTAAAGAAGGGCATTGTCTGCATGGAAACCTGGGCATTCCAGGCTTGAAGGTACTGACGACAGTATAATACGGAACAAGCATTTACTGAAGTGGAGATCAGCTGTCAGTGCCTTGCTCCAGGTTGAGGATATTTAACCCCCCATTCACTTTCTCCACCCTCCAACCACCAACTTTGCCCATTTCTAAACTTTCCAGGCTGTTGGCACCATGAGACACAAATGTGGCCTCACACCAGCTTCTTCTGGCCAGGTACAGCTCCTCATTCTCCCCTCAGAGGTCCAGCAGTCTTTCTTATCACTTCTCTGTGTGAGGTTCTCTCACCTGTACTGCTCCAGCAGCTGCACGGCCTGATGCTCCTGAGGGTGCCTCCTCATGTGGCTCTTTAAACTGTTCATGTTGGTGGTGGCAAAATCACAGCTACAGCACCTGGCAGATGGGGGGGGGGGGGGGAAGGAATGGCAAGAGATGAGAGAAACACTTTTGAGGTCATCGTTTTGCTTGTTTACTCTTGTAGCCTGAAGGGAGATAGAGGATTTAAAGCAAAACGGAGAGGAAATTGGCACTTTAGGAAAAAGACGAAATCACAACATTTTCTACTTTGTTGCGCTACGGATGGAAGACGGAACTGGCTTTTTAGCTGCTTAGAGGCAAATACTGCACGAGGACAGCAGACCGAGGCAACACTCAACTCGCAACTTGCTGCATTAAAATTAAGTCAAACAAAACTAAGTGTTGCACTTCATCATGTGAGGTTTACTGGGTCCTGAGTATTGAAAAGATGGATTTGACGAACCAAGAAGACTTTACAGTGTATTACTTAGCTATTGCCGACACACTGCGTTTCTTGACAATAACCCATTCAAATAATAATATACAGAACATAAAGATAGTTCGGGCCACTAATGTAGCCTAAAATATACCACGATATGGTCAACAACATTAGACATGTCCCGTCTTTAAGCGCAGAACACAAATGGCTCGTAAAGACATCAGCTCAACTTTTTAGTGGTCAGCTGAATGAGGGGAACCCAACTATTCAGAAACCTACCTCGGGCTGAGCAATATATAAATATATATTACATCAATATTGTGATATAAGACAAGATATTGTCTTAGATTTTGGAAATTGTAATATGGTCACGGCTGTTCCATTAGTTTCCTTTACCCACATAGTCCTTATTTCCACATTAATGATGATTATTCAAAAATATTTGATGAAAGCACTACTCTACCAAATGGTAGAAATGTCAACATTGAGGTATTTGGTGGAAAACATTGTGATACTTTCTTGATACTGCCCAGCCTTAAATCTGCCCACAGCTAAATGTTGAGAGTAGGTGCCAAGTGTTGATGGAGATAAAACTGGGATTGCAACTAGAATATAAAAAGGTTCAGTGCCCTCCAGAATTGTTGCCTCCTTTAGTGTGAATGTGAGCAACACAGGATGCTGTTTATCCTCTCAGTCTTTCACTCGAGACAACATTCTCCAAAGTCTCGCCTTTTCATTGAAGTAAGATTATTGAAAGAAAAAATGTTTGGCATAAACACATTTTTTCTCCAAAACACGTGTGCCACAGAAATGATTACAATCTCACTAAAGTATATTTCCAGACACATTGGACATTTTTAAGATCCCCTCTTGGATTAGGAGCTCTTAGAGAGTCAACCATGAAGAACTGTCTCACTGGGGGTAAAACATGAGGTCACACGGGCCAAGTTCCCTTTGTCGTTCATCACCGTGTGATAGAACCCGAGAACGCAGTGACGTAAGGTTGTTCAGCTGCACAAATTGAGGGGATAAAAAAAAAAACACCCATTTCCACAGTGTGAGCAATAATTAAGAAGTTTAAAGTGACAGGAGATATTAAAGAATCCGTGGACTGTGAGGAGGTTGTTTTTCTTCCAAAGGCCCCGGGGTCTCATTTAGAGCCGCTGCGTACGCACAGAACGGGGTCTTTACAGGTAGAATGATGCCTCTTGCTCTCATAGATCCTCTTTATCATAAACAGTCCAACCAGCAGTGTTATTTGTGCTGGTACTAGTGAGCTATAACTATAAAATATTAAAACCAACTCAAACCTCAAATCAAATTTTGCTTATTATTTCATCAGCGCTGTCTGCAGAGGAGAGACCGAACTACCGACCCTCGTGGTCATCTGATGAAATTATCATCATTTGTAAGAGAACGTCAAATAACATTAAAGAAATGCACAACAGAGCAATCTTAGCTTTCATTAAGCGTTAGTGAGTAAAATCGTTGCAGTGAACGCAACTTTATTCATTCATTTATGGTTATTTCCATAGTGACAGACAAACTGTACACAGCTATCTGATGAGAGTACCAGAGCCCGCTGGAGCAGAGGAGTAACCATGGTGATGTGACACACATTCTCCAGTCACCTGACCTGGCAAATCATCACCACCTAATTAGCCAAGTGTGGCAATAAAGCCAGGGACAGCTCTCGTACGATCGCTGCATATCCTCATTAGCAGTCCTGATCATAATGCCACAAGAGAACACAAGTATAGAAATAAATTGTGTTCACCTTTCTATGTTTTAAATGACATCCTAAGGTGACACTCGTGATTCGTTATGTTGCATAGAAGAAGATACTCAGACTGCGTAAATGGAAGAATTAAGAGTGAACGAGAAGTAGTCTCTGTGATTCACCGCAAAGAGCCGCTGATCAGCGGCTCAGTTCTGTGCATCAACATTCATAAGCTGCTTTGCTTTGACCATTTATGGTTGAATGTGGACATGTAGAGGATACATGGGGTTATGGACTCCATCGAATACCGGCCAATATTAAATGAAAACCCAACCTGACTCAGAGCCCAAAGGGAGGCTGCACAACATATTCAAATAAAGCGGTTGTTTCGTGATGAGAATTGAATGATTCTTTCAACTGTGTTACTTCGAATGTAAAGTTAGGTTTTTGTGAACATTTTGAATGAAACATCGTGGTTGATGAACCATAAAGACTTCTCAATGAAAAGTGCTCTTTTTGTTCCCCACATCTAAATGCATAACTACGACGGGCATTTCTGCACTCTTTGCCAATCACATTATGGTTAGATATGAGCATCAGTCCGGTTCGTCCTATTGTTATGCTGTGGAAATGTGAGACGCCGACAGAGACGATCAGCATCACCATAAAATGTTGCAAATTGGGCCCTTAGACTCTAATTGCAGTAATTGCACAGTGTGATATACCGGCACACGGCGGGCGCACGTGTTCACAATGATCTAAGGAGCAGCAGCACCGCTTGAAACTGGAAACACGGCAGCACATTTTTGGTGAGACCGTCACACACCAGAGAGGCCGTGTTGGCTCTGTGCTGTATCCGAAATAAAAAGGGCGACTATGGAGGGGGAAGTGCTAACTTTCAGCTTTAATTTGAGGCTGTTTAAATATAGATTGGGCTAAGAACATCCGCCCTGTCAAAACAAGAGAATCTGTCCGCCAACACCTACACACCAGGCTGACTGTCTGACAGATTGGACATTTCCAGTCAGATGTAACTATCTTCTGCATTACAGTTTCAATAAACTCCAAAGTATAGCTGATGTCAAACACTTAAAGCACAAGGACACAAGTATGTGGACACAATAGCAACAGCGCTAGCACAATGAACTATGTGTCCTTCAGCCATAAGACCTTATTCAGCCATTTACAGCTGCTTTCTTTATTGCCTAAGTTTGAATGTTCGCTTGTTTTCACCTGTTTTATAGCTGGATATTTCAAAACTCTTCTTTGGCTCTCATACCATTAGCTTACAGGACGGTTCACCCCTCTGGTTAGAAACAGCAATTAGATGCCATCTGACCTTATCAAAGCAGAGAGAAATCTTGTTTTTTGTGTGTGTGTGTGTGTGTGTGTGTGCACATTTGACCTTAGAGCACAGGTGACACTGTTACGGTAGCTGACAGAAACACACGTATATGTTCTCACCTCAGGCAGCTCTGTGTTGACACAAACACAAAGTGTGTGTGTGTGTGTGTGTGTGTGTGTGTGTGTGTGTGTGTGTGTGGGACTGTGGCTACACAGTGAAGATGACCGTACTGGTCTGAGCACCACCGGGCATGTACTGCCATCTAGTGGTCCTTTCTAAAAGACTCTGCATTGAAGCATCTTTGTCTGGCAGCTACTTGGTTCGCTCCCTCTGTATGAAACGCTGTCTGAAACCTGAAAACGCAACATTCACCGACCACTACTACAGGGCACACATGGGAAGCAATCAAACTGGACTCGAAAACATTGAGTGTTTTACTTCTAACATGTAGGAATAAAGGACAGCAGATCTGTGGAATTGTTGTGAATCTAGCGTCCCGTTAAGGCAACATACTGTGTGCTAAATAATTAACACAGAAGTCCGTAAAGTTAACATCCAATTTGCAACGGATGTGAAAGATGCAATCAGTCCCCCCAAAAAATGCAATCAGTCTCCAGATTGGTGTCTGCTTCATTATAATGTCATTAAAGCTGAATGTCATTTGTAATTTCTGCAACTATCATTAACATATTCTATAACTATGAAACACAATATAACTGCAATAACAAATTATGTTCACTGTAGAAAAACGAAACCCAAAACTTTTTAAAAGGGTAAGTACGGTAATAAAGTATTAAATCAACAGCACACGCAGCACCAGTTTAAGTATATTATTAAATACAATAAATGGTATTTGCAAAGTGCCTTGTGTGACATTTATGGGGACTATTTTTAAATCATGTTCATTTTGATTATAATAAAAATCATAAAAGATAATTCTAACACAAATACATTTCATAATGAATAATGATGTTCTAGAGCTGCTTTACACTCAATGAAAAGCAGAAGATCCACAAACTAAAACTCTTTTTTTAACGCCACTGGAACTGAATTCAGGCTCATCAGTCAAACAAGCAAGTGTTGAAACGGCCCCAAAGTTAACATGGGCAGTTTTCACACACTTACTCAATTAGTGAAGCATGTGCTCTTCATAAATGATTTAATATTTACATGCTTTACTTCTTTGGCACAGAATGTGATTAGAAGCAGCTGTGCACAGATGACTCAACTTCTGGGTTGATTTTTCAGTAAAAGGGCAACGCACACAACACTCATTATCTTGCTCGTAAAAAATTGAATTAATTGTCACCAAAGGTTGTAAATGACTTCTATATCGTAATGTTATCTATTTTTTTCAACTACATTTTATCATCTTATCATTTATTTCCTGGTTCAGACTCAATGTTTTAAGCCAGTTTGGTTCTGATTGGTCGGGGGTAAAAACAGCTCCAACAAGAGTTGCCTTGAGGTCCGGTCACAACTGGTTTGATTTTGTACCAACTGGCTGAAACTGCATTTCGTCATTATGACACATTCTGGTAAACTAAAAAGAAGCCGACATCAACAACCTGTGCTGATGGGAGCGGATCTGACTGTATTCTCTCAGGCTTCACGACACGCCCACTTTACTACACGACACAATATGATAGAGAAGAAAATCTTTAAGTTCCAGAAAGAAATCTGTAACTTAAAGATTTTGTTATTGAAACAAATACAAACTTCTAATGGACCCAAATCCTACACCGGTAGCTTCTAGTTTTTCGAAGAAAACACTGAGAAAAATAATTATATAATAAGAAAAAGTCAGTCACAAGAACCTGTGGACCTGTGTTCAGTGAATCAGTGAGTGGTACGAGTACTTGTATTTAGGTGATAGTGTTTGTTTCTTTCTACAACTCACCGGTAAGGCTTGTCGGAGTTATGAATCCGACGGTGGTTCCTGACCCCAACATACGTGGAGCTGGTGTAGTCGCACACGTCGCACTTATACACCTTCTGCAAACCACAATCTGTAACAGAGCATAAACAATCTTCTGAAAACACTGACAGAAATCATATGGCACTATGTGGCCCGGAGTCATTGTCATATCTTGTAACAATCCATCTTTCCATCCTAACACATAAAGAGGTCCTAAAAACACGCCTTACCTTCATCCGTTACCCGCTCGGCTTCCTCCACCATGGCCACGGTTTCAGTAACTGGTGTGAGGGCTGCCGTGTCCCCGCTGAAGCTGTGCTGCTCCCTTTCATGGTTTCTTAACTGACTCTAAGAAAAGAAAACACACACACACACACACACACACACACTATAAGAATGACAATACATGCAGTTGACATTTAAACACGGACTGGTTGGATAACGATTGTCAGTCAAACTGTATTTCACACTGTGATGGTTAACGTTAAACTGTGTAATTAATCCCCGAACAATGAAGGGGGGGGGGGGGGAAGATCCGTACGGCTCACAGATCGACAGTGGTCTGTTACACCACTAGTCTTTAGACATTATTCAGCCCATTCCACTGAGCACCAATCAATCGTATTTCAACTAGCAACTAGACTCTGTTGTTCACTTTTTATGTGGTCTGGTAAGGTACCTAGAATTCCTCGGCAGCCTTAAAGTAAAGATAGGGGTGACTTAGTCTCCACCATGTGTAAACTGCAGGATCCGGCTGTCTATTTAAATATGTGGGCTGTCTGCCGTGGTTGTCCTCCTGACAGTAGCCTGGAAGAGATGCCCCTCATGGCTACACATCGAGCACCTTTCCTGCAAGCCTTCACATCTCTCAGCACAAAGGCTAAAAAAAGACGTACACGGGAATAACACAATTATCCAGAACTCCTTAAAAGTTCGGTCTCAGGTGATGCAGCTGTTAAAATATACCTAGACCTCCCTTCATGCTCCAATCATGCATCCGGGTCTGGAGGACCTGCTCTTCACAACTTGGAGGGAGAAGGGAGTCATCTTTGTGGGACATTTCTACATAAATGATCATCTCGTCTATTTCTAGAAACTCCAGCTTCCCAATTTATCTTTCCTCCATTTTCTACAACTGCGACACTATTCTGAGGACTCATGTCTCACTGCCCGAGCAGAAACCTCACCATGCTGCTTCTGGTAGTCTCTTGACTATTAAACCATATCCTAAAAAGGTGGTGCGTCATATTTTTTACAACATCTTTCAGCATTTAAATAGCACATCATCAAACGTCGTCGATACAACTACAAGTTGAGCATGGATTGCCCTTCTCTCCCACTAGCTTACAGAAGAAAACTAATGCTGCAAATGTAGAAACATTTGATATGTGGCTGAAGTAATCAGGAAGTGTAGTATGTCTAGAGAAAATAAGATGCACTATGTCAAACAGAGAGGGACTCTTTCACAAGATCTGGCAACCTGTTTCTTTTCCTCTTTTGTGTTTTTTTATTTTCTATAGCCGTCATTTCCAGTATGTGTCGTTTGTGTTTTGCTGTATTTCTATATCGCTCGATCAATACATTTTTTTTTAAAAAAGACTAAAAAGACGATAGGACTAAGGATTATTTTCTTAATTCATTGCTTTGTCCATAAAAATAAAATGCTCAGAATAATATTTTTTGAAACCAGGGTAACACATTTAAACGGCCCAAAGCTCATTATTCAGTTTACTGTCAAAGATGAAGCAGCACATTCTCACATTTGAGAAGCTGGAACCAGAGAATGTTTGCCATTTGAACTCAGAAAATAACTTTCTGTAAAATGTGTTTTTAGAAAAAGATAATGAGGACGTGCACAAAAGAAAGGACAATTGTTTGAAACTGTGACACAGTGGTACGAGTGAGCCTGAGGAAACAAAAGTGGTGGACTGCCAGTGTTATATTTACTGGAAAATAGATAAACAGTGTCCCTCTGAAAAAGTATTATACGTATTATAATATACAGATTAATGGATCACATATAAAATAACAAGACTAAACGCTGCATTGCCGTGTCCTCACCTTGTAGTGGAAGGCGTCTGGACACTGCTTGCACTGGTACATCCTGGTCTTACAGTGGTGGATCATGTGGCTCTCCAGGTCCTTGCTGTCCGAGGCGATGTGCTCACAGATGGGACACTGGTACGGCTGCCTCTGCCTGTGCACCCGCAGGTGCTGTTTGATGTAGCCCTTATTGCCGCTGCTGTAGCGGCACAAGCGGCACCGGTACGGCCGCTCGCTACCGGGGATGTAGTCCACCAGGCCGCCGTCGGCAGAAGCAACCAACCCGTCCATTCCCGGGATGCCACACATGTAGCCCCCGGCTCCGTTCCCCGTGACCACTGCTCCGTTTTGAAACTGGGCGTTGTCCTGAAGCTCTTTTAAGATGTCCTCATCCGAGGCGTTCTGGTCCGAGCGCTCTCGAAGCCTCTCGATGACGGTGAGCAGCGACAGGCTGATGCCGGCTTTAGTGGCGGGGCCCTCCTCGTCCCCCTCCTCAAGGCACAGGGACCCCAAATCTTCCTCTCTGCCCCCTCCGTGAAGCTCCAAGTCCAGCAGAGCTGCTGTTGTCTCTGCGTCGGAAGCCCTCTGCCCAGCCTCTACGAGCTTCTGGCCGGAGTTGGGGCTCTGTGCCTGGGCTGTGATGGTCTTCAGACTTACCTTGGTGGGGAGGTCGGGGGTCCTCATGGGCATAGCGACGAGGACCTCAGCTGCCAGAGAGTGCAGGCGGAGGGACTCAGAATGTGTCCTCTTGCGACTGGCCGGGGGAATGTTCTCATCCCGTGGAGAGTCACTACCCACAGAGGGTTTAACGTCAGCTCCTAATGGCTGTCCGGCGGTGGCAGCGGGGACCGCCTCACCCTCTGCAGCTCCCGCATGGCCCCGCTCTTCCTCCCCTGCACCCGCTAAGTTCTTGTCCCTGTCCACGTCCGGGCTGAGAAGAAGCGGGTTCGTCGCCATGACCGAATCCTCGGCCGAGGGGAGGCGTTCTACGATCACGTTGATGTGGCCGGCGCTGTTGGGACCGCTGTTGATGATCTTCTGAGCTGATGACAGTAAGCTGTCTGTCACAGAGGTGCCGTCATGATGATGACTGCTGATCTCCACCTCGGACTCCGCCTCTGTCGTAACCTGCACCTCCACCACGGGCTCCTCTGAGGTCATGTGTTTGATGGGGTACACCCTCTCCTCCTCTGTCTTCAGGCTTACGTCGCGATCAGAAACCGGATGATTCAGCGCATCCCATTTGCTCTCGACGGCCATCGGCACGCGGAGCTGGAAGGCGGCGGGCAGCTTTTGCAGGCTTTTGTCTTGAAGGCCCGGGGAGAGAACGACTATTTCCTCCCTGGTCGCCGCGTTGGCTGTGGCCGGGGCCTCTCTGCTCGCGACGGCCCCGTCTTCGTCCTCGAAGATGGGGTAGGAGCAGTCGACCAGGCCGGCGTGCTTCCAGGCGTGGGTCTTGAGCATCCGCTGCTGGCTGCACACATAGCTGCAGATCAGACAGCGGTACAAGCCGTACTCCTCGTAGCTGTACCACTTCTTCTTCTGCGGCAGCTCCCTGGAACCGTCCAGCGAGCTTCTGATCGCCTCGGTTGCCACGCCGCTGCCGTCCTGCTTCCTCAGAACCTCGTCCTTAGCGGTGTCGATGTGCAGTCTGACGTGGGCCTCCAGCTGGCCCTGGTCCCTGGAGGTAAAGCGACACTCTGAGCACATGAGGATGAGGTCGCTGTGCTGCTCGTTGTGCTGCTTCAGGTGCTCTTTCAGCAGCGGCAGTGTTTGGGAGAGATAGGGACACAGGCTGCACTGATAGCACGTCACCGTCCGCTTGTGGTCGCCGCTGTCGGGGTCGCTGGCTGCCTCCGTTGCCGCGGTGGCGATGCTGTTGTTGTTGCCGTCACCAGGCACAGGCGGAGAAAGAGTTGCACCACCGTCCAATCGCACCTCCTCCTCTACGCTCTCCTGCTCCTTCTTAATTTTCTTAAAGGGGGATCCTCCTCTGCTCCCCCTCCTCCCCCCCTCCTCCTCCTCCTCCTCCTCCTCACCTCTTCCTCCTCCCTCCGCAGAGGCGGCTCTCTTCTGTCCCGCCAAGGTGCAGCGGCGCTGGGGCCGCTTCTCCACGATTTTGCTGAGCTTCTCGATCACCTGGATGAGCGAGTCTGCGGCCTGTTTCTGCTGAAAACTGTGGGAGGCGTCCCCCTTGACGTCTTGCCGGGTTCGGCTTTGAGAGAGGGATCCCAGTGCTGACGCAGCGGAGGAGGAAGAGGAGGCGGTGGAGGAGTGGGGGATGAGTACAGCTACATTGCTGACCTCCTCCATGACCTGGCAGACAGCAGGGAAGAATGGAAAAACTGGTTGGTGCCATGTGGTACATTAGATTTAAACAGTTGTGGTCCCTTATTAATAATATAGATATACATACAAGATATACATAAATACAATATCGCAATGTTCCTCCAACATTTTATGTTAGGCGGACACTTAAACTCACACAAACAATATTATTATTTTTTTAATGTAGGATAACATATTGCCAATAACATATTATTGTCAATACAGATTATCCGACTACAGTTTTCATATATTATTTGTTTCTGCACTTATTCGTTCCGCCTTTGAAACACTAGAAAACAGTGACTTGCTTGTTTTGTGAAGTCCAAACTCAAAGTTACTCAACTTACATACAAGAGTCTTCACATTCGAGGAGCTGGAATTTGTGGGTGTTTGATAAATATTATGATCATCAAAACAGCTGTCAATATTTTTTTCTCCACTTCTGCATTAACTGAATGTTCCCGGTCCAACGACAGAAAATGAGGACCTCGAGGATCATTCATCTGCGGATCTTGCTGTTGTTGGGGGAAAAAAATACTAATTTTTATAGTCATGTAAGACAACTATCAACATCTGTTTGAGCTTGCTGTCACTTCTGCACCGCAGTGTTTACTGAGGGGATTGATCGTCTGTGTGATAGATTAACTCATTCATGATTAGCCCCGTTAAGCAACTTCACCATGTGCATCTGTTTACAAACTAAGCTGGAGGGAAATGGTCACAACTCCTGTGGCTGAATTTCTTCCTTTTTTTTTTTTTATCTCTGCATATCCAAAACTTTCCTCTCTCTGACCACAAATCGCCTTCCTCTTTCTCCTGCTTCCGCTTCTGTGCATGACTACATCAAAACAGTAGGGGAGACATATTTGGAGGAGAGCTACCACATGTGCAAGGATTATTGGCTGTCATCCAGCTTGATTTCTGGATGCTGTGGAGTGGAGCTACAGGGAAACTGGCCTGGTGTTATTAACACTGGAAGCGAGGATAAACTTCAGCCAGCAATAATGGCCTTCTTCTATTAGAAATGTCGTAACCGAGCAAATGGAAATCTGCCAAATAGGCCACCTATGGTCAGATCACTTCACTGGCACAGATAAAGAAGCTCGGCCTGTGGTCAGCGTGGCCTCTCTTTAGACCGCCGTGTGCTTTAACCAGTCTCAGACGAGCACCTGTTATGCCAGGGTCTAAAAATATTTCATCCACTTTCACTCCCCTGTAGAATGAAGTTGAACACAGCAAACGTCAGACAGCCACTTGTCCAAATGCACTAGCTAACGTTAGCTAACGTGCTGCAGCTGCTACGACAAGAGACGTTCACAGGACGGGGAAAAAAACAACATTTGAGTAAGAGGCAGCACTGTTAGCTTCACTGTTAGCTTCACAGCTTGCTGCCTGATATTCAAACACACACATACATACACATGCACATACACATACACACGAGTCCCACACAGTGCTAGCAGTTATCTACACATGTATGTGCAAGGACATTTTAATTATCATTTCGGTTAATGTGTGAAGGAGGAGCGCGTGGCTGCAATTTGAATGAAGACGTACTCACTGACACGGAAAGGCTCGACGCTCTTTGTCCTCAACACATAAAACCGGCTTCGTTTTATTCGTTAGCCATAAAAAAGTGGCCTCTCTGTCTCTCTCTCTCTCTCTCCCACATTGCAAAATGGCGAGGATGGAATATCAGTCACGTGACTTGGATTTCGGGTCAGGTGACCGACGTGGACCGATGATTGACGGTTTGCCTGATGCTGCCTTCAGGTGCTGCTCGTAAAAACATCGCGTCTCATTTTTGACCGGCGTGTTATCGATTTTAGGGGTTTAAATTACATTTTATAAATGCATTGACCAATATCACCATCGCAAACAAAAATTAAAAGGAGCAATGATGTACAAAGCATTTGTGCTCTAAATTATTTACACAATTTCAAACATTCGGACTATAGTTGTCTTTGTTCAGCTACATAGGGTAGCCTATATTTATTTTCAAAAGTAATGTGGATTTTAATGGTTTTAGTAAAAGTGTCTCATATAAGGACAGTCTGTAGATTTGTTCTCTACTAGAACTGTAGATTTTAATATTTTTATTTTCATATTTCATAAGGGCAAACCCTAAACATGTCTAGGCTTTAGACAAGTTTAATGATTAAAATAAGCTAATTATTAAAAAAAAGCCTAATTGATAAATATCTCTGACTTGTTTTGAGATTGGAAAAAGATATGATAAAAAAAAGGATCAAGTAAGGGAACAAAAATTGGAGAATAAAAAGCCATGGTAAATGAAATGTCAAAGAAGGACATAGAGAGGTAACTAAGCACACTTTTCTCAATCATTATAAACCTAATTAAAGGGTTAGAAAAAAAGACCCTTTCAATGAACCTAGAGGTGAATTAATTCATTTTAGTTCACACACTTGAACTGAAATTTCCACCAACAACGATGATAGATAAGACTGTGAGCATCATATTACTTTTACGTAATATTGTATAAAATATGGTGATAAATTAAGCCACGATAAATTTGTCCATCATTCACATATATATATCTGTAATATTTTGGCTTAGGAGGAAAACTTACTGCATCACAAAAGATTTGTTATCTGTGCACTAGCTTAATCATTTCCACTACAAAACTACAATGTTACACTAGAACTACAAATTAGGAAACTCAAGTTGTTGCGACCCTACATCTTATCTGTTTTTCTACACTGAGAAATGTGAGAGAAGAAAGTTCAGTGGGAAGCACAGCCCTTTTTGTCTCAAAATGGAAATAACATTATTATATGTAATTATGTATTGTCATGTATAGATTACAGTAATAAACAAGAAGGCAAAAAGGGAGCAGAGACATGTTTCTCATTTAACCATATGATCATTAACTACTGATCATTAACCATGGTCTTGTACACATTAACCACCAACGGTCAATGGTCAGTCCACTCATTTCCACCTGATCCAGGCTGGAATGATGTAGCAGGAAGCAATCAACAAAATGTTGAGAAATCTCTGATGGTGATATTTGTTGAAAATTGTGCACAGGTGTGTGGTAAGGTAAGCACTACAAATCACTATTTATATGAAAGAGATACAGCTGGAATATGAAACTGTGGAAAAATATCACAGCAATCATTTACCACAGAGCAGCTGAAATAAAGAACTTTGTGGCAAAAACATTGTGTTTTCAGGCACCGGTCAATTTTGAGATGTTGGGCTATTTTTCTTCCATGTCTCCTTTCAGACTAGTGGAGAGAAAACATCCACAATACACATGAAGGGCTTTATTTTACTACTTTGTCTATTTGCGTCTGTAGTTTTCTCCTAAATTCACCAAAAGTTGTCATTAGATAATGCCTAATTTGCATATTAAACATACCATTGCAGACAATTTGTAATACAAATAATTGTTGTCTTAATGTAAGTAATCAACTGGAGAGGTTTCATGGTGATATCTATTCTATTTTTATTGTTTTACCCTATTCACCTGCAGTGTTTTCAAAATGTATGTAATTGTTCAATAGATGTGAGGCTGTTTTCTGTCTCAGACTGTATTCTGAAGGTTTTTACTGAGGGGTTTGTTTATATATCGTTCAAAGACTGATTTATACAACATTCTATTCCTAAAAACATGGTGATAGGGGATTTTTTTTAATGGTTGTTGACAGAATTTTATGATTTGGAGTGATACAAAGAGACATCCCAGATCCCCTCTGTAAAATCCTTTTACTATACATGTCAACTAAATAAAACAACAATTTTTGAGCCTGGCTTTATCAAATGTTCAGATTTCTGTTATAGAAATGAATGCAAAATAGCACACATTTAATTAGATATTGCCTCATTTCTAACCATAACATTTCAGAAAACTAGTAAAACTGAAAAATATCTGTATTAATGTAAGTAATCATCTGGGAAAGTTTCATGTTGAATCTGTTAGTACATTTATTTTTATCCTATTGGGTGTCTCCCCTTAGTTTGTTCCGTAACTCAAGGACTGTGAACTCTACTGTGCATCTATTTAAAGTATATGCCATAAAAAGTTAAGGAACTGAAAAGCAATTTGGAAAAGATATGAGCTGTCTAGGTGAAAATACATCACACTAATATCAAATGAGTGAAATACAGCAGCAGTGTGCGTGTGTGTGTGTGTTCAATGAGGTTTTGGAGAGGATTTTCTCTCTTTTACATGACGATACAATATCAAACCTTCACAGTGCAGTATGGCACCTTTCTGATGAAAGAGGATATCTAGCATTGGGTCTCTTCCTTGCTTCATGGCCATTACTGTCTAACCCATTTTTTTTATAGGATGACGCTTATTCACCCTTTTACAGTAAATCATCATCATCTAAATCTCGTAGCATAGAGAAGAAATATCCAAAGAATGCCTTGAAAGACTTAAAGGGCCAGTGTGTGGGTTTTGGCGGCATCTAGCGGTGAGGTTGCAGACTGCTACTACCTGAAACTTCCTCCGGGTGCCAAGCGTGTGGAAGAACTATGGTGGCCGACGCAAAAAACGTGAAAACACAAATGGCGCTCTCTAGAACCGGTGTTTGGTTTGTCCACTCTGGGCTACTGTAGAAACCATGAGGCCGTCTCCGTGAAGACGATCTGCTCCCTATGTAGATACAAATCCCTTGTAATGTAAAACATTACGTTATTTTCAAGCAATGATACAGTAAAGAAAACACATTTATTAATATTATATTCAATTTCTGCCAACAAATCTTTCTAAATGCTACACGATGTTCCTTTATGAAGACAAGGAAGACCATGAAAACAAATGCTTTTGTAAGGGGAATTGATTTTTTTTTTGTATGATTATCACAAACCATTTTACCAGAAAAGGCATGAGCACAATAAGTATCTCTGAGGATGTTTCTGCATGTGTAGATTCCAGAAATAAAAACTGAAAGGTGACTCTTTTATTGTCCACATGAAAAGTAAAACACTTATTAATTAAATGAGAGGCCGATCAGCTCAAGATACAGTTCTTCTAACTGACTTTGTAGTTGTCTGTCGTGCTCATGGTGATGTTGTGGTTGTTAATGATTGGTGTTGTTTTTTCACAGAAAGGTTGAATAGTGTTTTAAACTGGTATATGTCAAATATTTGATGATCATATTCTCAAAATTGGCGGATAGAGCTTCATGACTCACAGCAAATTATTTGTGAATTGTAGATATATTCATTTGAAATGTACAGAAAACGATGCAGCTGTGCAGAGAGACTTGAAACACAACACCTCTGAATACTCCACACACACACACATACACGCGCACACGCACGCACACACACACACACACACACACACACAATGTAATTCAGGCCCAATTGGAGGTAAAACAAGCCTGTGCTGAAAATGACATATTTCATTGTTGGCTATGTCCATTCATATGTGATTTTTATGAACTGTAATCCCTTCCACCTTCTATTACCCCCGCTGCCTCTCCGTCAAAGGCACACTGAGGCGGCTCTCTAATCTGAAGTGACAGCCCATATACTCTCACTCACACATTACAGCGTAGCCTCGGGCAACGGAGCCTGCTCCTCTCAAAAATGTTGGAACCAGGTTATTTCTATTGAAGTATTAAAGTAATACTTCAGTTTAAGCTATTATTTCAGGGTTTTTATTATTATTTCTTTTCTCCCCCAACTGCAGGGCTGAGTAGGGATTGATTGAATGTGAATGAGGGAGAGAGAGAGAGAGAGAGAGAGGACACACTGTGGAGCTGGAAATGTGGAGATGTGGAGAAGGAGAAGCAAACATGCTTTCAACTGCATCTCACAGCCTTCTTCAGCAGATGTGAGTTTGCTCAGTTGTATGTGAATACGCAAATTGTTAAGTTCCACACTTAGACCGAACTCCATCCTGCTGAAGAAGACCATGAGATGCGGAGGAGGTAAGTGGACCTTGACTTAGACATCTTTTTTTGAACTTATAAATAATTCATTGAATTCAAATGGTTCTCCAGAGATGTGTGCACGTCCATAAAGCTAGATATATCCTTTAATATTAGTCCCTTGTGTGGATAAAGCACCAAAAACACAGTTTTCCCATAATGCAGCTCAATAACATTTTCATTAGAAGCTCCTTGACCCCGTGCCTCCCTCGACATTCAAGCTCCACGCCTCCGTTATTGTAAAGACTTTCTGTTATAAATCTGTAGTTTCCAAGGCCACGCTGAGGTCATCCTAAATGACTTCATCAGGGGTTCCTCACTTCACAAAGCTCATGGTACATAAATGCGATATTATACTGTAATTTAAGATAAACATAGGAGAAAAATGAAATGGATGAATCTCCTCAGTGCCCTCATACAGAACGTAAAGGCCTCTCTTCACCTATGTGGATACTGCTAACTGTTATCTCTTACATCTCCAAGATTTCTCGTCAACTTCAAATGTTCATGACTAGATGAGCATCAGTCCGAGTTACACTAAAGGTCAGACGAGAAAACATCTCCAGACCCTTTTTATTAACAGTTTAAATCTACTGCGTCAGGACTGTGCAAGTGTGATGTCATCAGATTTGATTGACAGTGGCATTTTCATTTGAATATTGCTGGATTGTGATTGGTGCAGAGACATATGCGACGTTGTGTTTTGGCGATGGAAGCCTGCCCTATTTGAAAATAAAATACAGAAATACC